AAGTAGAGACACTACATACTGATATACACCTGAACATCAGCAGGAGAGGACTCTTTAAAGTAGAGACACTACATACTGATATACACCTGAACATCAGCATGAGAGGACTCTTTAAAGTAGAGACACTACATACTGATATACACCTGAACATCAGCAGGAGAGGACTCTTTAAAGTAGAGACACTACATACTGATATACACCTGAACATCAGCAGGAGAGGACTCTTTAAAGTAGAGACACTACATACTGATATACACCTGAACATCAGCAGGAGAGGACTCTTTAAAGTAGAGACACTACATACTGATATACACCTGAACATCAGCAGGAGAGGACTCTTTAAAGTAGAGACACGACATACTGATATACACCTGAACATCAGCAGGAGAGAACTCTTTAAAGTAGAGACACTACATACTGATATACACCTGAACATCAGCAGGAGAGGACTCTTTAAAGTAGAGACACTACATACTGATATACACCTGAACATCAGCAGGAGAGGACTCTTTAAAGTAGAGACACTACATACTGATATACACCTGAACATCAGCAGGAGAGAACTCTTTAAAGTAGAGACATTAACGCTGGTGCTCAGAAAAAGGTGGATGATGGGACGTCAACATATAAGGTGGTCAATATTCACCTCAAAAAACATAAGACGACGACAGATAAAAGCATATTTTGCACAAACTGAAGCAAATGTGTGTGTGTTTACTCTCCACTGAATTATACTGTGAGTGGATCTGTTTATTTCTCAACCTGCTGAGTGGTGACACTTTAATCAGCAGATCATATGGTCTGACAAAACACACACACACACACACACACACACACACACACACACACACACACACACACACACACACACACACACACACACACACACACACACACACACACACACTCCCCATCACCAAACTAAATGCTTTATACCCACACAGAACCGCATCTCACCAACCCATCCAACCACACCAGAGGCCACCCTGAATCTGCACCCAAACGCACCGTCCTGCCGACGCTAATTTAGCGTTTCAAGTCTCTGTGTGGCACCGATGGGATTTGTGGGTGTCTACACTGAGGAGTTGGGGGGGGGGGGGGGGAATTTAGGAGGGTATGTGCCCACAAGCTGTCTGCATGGCTTCAAAGCAGCCTCTCATTTTGTCAGAGATGGCAAAAGTAGAAGTACAGATACTCGTGTTTAAAAATACTCTGGTGAAAGTAGAAGTACTGACTAAACTTCTTTACTCAAGTCAAAGTAAAGAGGCTTTGAAATGTACTTCAGTAAAAAGTACCCATAACTAGCAGCTGTTTTAAAGAGTACCTGACCTCCCTTTATATTAATAGAACAATAATGTCATTGTTAGCTAATGAATGTTTCCATGCTGAACAACGGCAACATGACAACGTTTTCATTGGTCCCTCTTCTTTAGAGAAGACCAGGAAATGATGGATACACGGATCGTGTTCAAATCAATAGGCACGCAATGACTCTAATAATAATGATCACGCCACCAAACACACATTCAAACTAAAGGAACCAGCCTGTTTGGGAAATGTGAGAAGTAGAAAGTACAGGTATTTGAGTTCAACATGTAAGAAGTAGAAAGTACAGGTATTTGGGTTCAACATGTAAGAAGTAGAAAGTACAGGTATTTGTGTTCAACATGTAAGAAGTAGAAAGTACAGGTATTTGTGTTCAACATGTAAGAAGTAGAAAGTACAGGTATTTGTGTTCAACATGTAAGAAGTAGAAAGTACAGGTATTTGGGTTCAACATGTAAGAAGTAGAAAGTACAGGTATTTGGGTTCAACATGTAAGAAGTAGAAAGTACAGGTATTTGGGTTCAACATGTAAGAAGTAGAAAGTACAGGTATTTGGGTTCAACATGTAAGAAGTAGAAAGTACAGGTATTTGGGTTCAACATGTAAGAAGTAGAAGTACAGGTATTTGGGTTCAACATGTAAGAAGTAGAAAGTACAGGTATTTGGGTTCAACATGTAAGAAGTAGAAAGTACAGGTATTTGGGTTCAACATGTAAGAAGTAGAAAGTACAGGTATTTGTGTTCAACATGTAAGAAGTAGAAAGTACAGGTATTTGTGTTCAACATGTGAGAAGTAGAAAGTACAGGTATTGTGTTCAACATGTAAGAAGTAGAAAGTACAGGTATTTGGGTTCAACATGTAAGAAGTAGAAAGTACAGGTATTTGGGTTCAACATGTAAGAAGTAGAAAGTACAGGTATTTGGGTTCAAAATGTAAGAAGTAGAAAGTACAGGTATTTGTGTTCAAAATGTGAGAAGTAGAAAGTACAGGTATTTGTGTTCAACATGTAAGAAGTAGAAAGTACAGGTATTTGTGTTCAACATGTAAGAAGTAGAAAGTACAGGTATTTGTGTTCAAAATGTAAGAAGTAGAAAGTACAGGTATTTGTGTTCAACATGTAAGAAGTAGAAAGTACAGGTATTTGTGTTCAAAATGTAAGAAGTAGAAAGTACAGGTATTTGTGTTCAAAATGTGAGAAGTAGAAAGTACAGGTATTTGTGTTCAACATGTAAGAAGTAGAAAGTACAGGTATTTGTGTTCAACATGTAAGAAGTAGAAAGTACAGGTATTTGTGTTCAACATGTAAGAAGTAGAAAGTACAGGTATTTGTGTTCAAAATGTAAGAAGTAGAAAGTACAGGTATTTGTGTTCAAAATGTGAGAAGTAGAAAGTACAGGTATTTGTGTTCAACATGTAAGAAGTAGAAAGTACAGGTATTTGGGTTCAACATGTAAGAAGTAGAAAGTACAGGTATTAGTGTTCAACATGTAAGAAGTAGAAAGTACAGGTATTTGTGTTCAACATGTAAGAAGTAGAAAGTACAGGTATTTGGGTTCAACATGTAAGAAGTAGAAAGTACAGGTATTTGTGTTCAACATGTAAGAAGTAGAAAGTACAGGTATTTGTGTTCAACATGTAAGAAGTAGAAAGTACAGGTATTTGTGTTCAACATGTAAGAAGTAGAAAGTACAGGTATTTGTGTTCAACATGTAAGAAGTAGAAAGTACAGGTATTTGGGTTCAACATGTAAAAAGTAGAAAGTACAGGTATTTGTGTTCAACTTGTAAGAAGTAGAAAGTACAGGTATTTGGGTTCAACATGTAAAAAGTAGAAAGTACAGGTATTTGGGTTCAACATGTAAGAAGTCAAAGTAAAAAGTCGTCAGAAAAATAAGTAGTGGAGTAAAGTACTGATACCAGAAAAATGTACTTAAGTACAGTAACAAAGTATTTGTGCTCCAATATGTTCCAACCTCTGCATGGTGTTTGGTGAAAAATGCAGCAATGTACACACTGTCACTGCTGTGCTGTGTTAACCCTGTAACACACATTCTGATGGCAGGTGTGTGTGTGTGTGTGTGTGTGTGTGTGTGTGTGTGTGTGTGTGTGTGTGTGTGTGTGTGTGTGTGTGTGTGTGTGTGTGTGTGCATGTTGCCCTGTTTGGAATATAACTGGATACAAATCAGCATTGAAACCATATGCCCTGCAGAAACTAACCTCACATCATGTTTGCTGCCCAGTAGCCAATGGGTTTGAGAAGAAGATAAACTGATGTACTGAGGAACATCACGTTAACACACACACACACACACACACACACACACACACACACATACACACACACACACACACACACACACACACACACACACACACACACACACACACACACACACACACACACACACACACACATACACACACACACACACACACACACCCACACTCTGCTATGTAATCAGACAGGCTCTAATTCAATCTCACAGAGAAGGAGGACCACATACAGACTGTGATTAAGTGACCACACACACATATACACATGCAGCCTCACACACACACACACACACACACACACACACACACACACACACACACACACACACACACACACACACACACACACACACACACACACACACACACACACACACACACACACAGCTTGGTGTGTGCTGCCCTCTGCTGGTGTTAATTAATAAATATGATTCACAGGATTAGAGGGAATAACACATTATTCTCATATCATTGAAGCATGTATTATAATAATCATGATGTGAATGTTGAATAGGATCTGAACAAAACAAGGATCTTTTATTGAATCTGTAAAAATAATCTCTGCACCTCCACAATACTTCATTCATATATTAAACATATTTTACTTTGTACAAATACATATTGAGCTATTGAGTAATGATGTTACTTTTGTACTAGTAAGATTCTGAATGTAGGACTTTTAATTGAAACTGAGTGTTGTATCTGTGGGAGAGGGTTAGGGCCACGTGGGAAACATTGTTTTGGGTTGTGACCAAAGATAAAATAAAGTAAGTAAAAATGCAAAAAAGTAATCAGGAAAAATCTAAAATCTGAAAAAAAGAAATATTATTATTATAATTACTTTCGTACTTTTAATATTAATATTTTGAATGTAGGACTTTTACTTGAGCTGAGTATTTGTATGTGAGAGGATTAGGGCCACATGAGAAACACTTTATTTTTTTTGGGTTGTGACCAAAAGATAAAATAAAGTAGGTCAAAACTAAATGTATTATTATTGATTTTCTGAACAAAATTAAAATCAGAAAATAATTAATAAAACATTTTCAGATTTTCCTGGGATTAAAGTCTGAATTTCAAAAATAAATGTAGCTTTTTGTCACACCCAAATGTTGTCCTCATATAGCCCTAACTCTCTTCCGTATCACTGTTATACTGCGTATTTTAATTATAATATCTGAGTATATTTCCCCAGCCCGGCCCTGAACAGGCTGATGAAATCCGAAGAACTGCCGACACATCAGTCTCTTCACGCCGCATGCAAGCCACCATCACCCGGCTGTTAACCCGTGCATTCCTCCCTAACTTCACCCAGAACTCTGTCCACAACATGAGATAAGATAAGATAAGATAATATAATGTTTGGGAACAATTTGGGAAATGTTTGCGTTGCAGCAGCATAAGGCATTGTACATTGGATACATTAAAAGACTAGAAATAACCAATCCAAAATGTAAACGTCTCAAATTGAATTAAGTAGCAAAAACATGGCCAAAGTGAGGAGCAGGCAGTCCGGGTTTCGGGCTCTATTGACGGCAGGAGAGCAACTGTTGTGGGGCCCCGCGTTCACCCGGAGCTCCAGGAAAGTTCAGCGGCACGTGTTCGATCCGCAGCGGGGAATAGGGCACTCTGAGGCGGGCAGCGTGGCAGCAAGAGCCGCTGCTTTGGCCCAGAAGCACCAGGAGGAGGAGCAGCGTCTCTTCTCCGACAGACAGCCCAACATGAACCTGATGTACCGGGACGTGAAGGCGTTCCTCCGGGAGGTCGGAGGAAACCCCCGGGAGGCTCGGTACTGGCTGACCCAGTTCCAGAGAGCCTCGGCGGTGAAGTCTCCAGCCTTCGCGGTCCTGGAGGTTTGAAAAACTTAATGTTTACAAAAAACAAAAAACTTCAGGATGCTGTAGTGTAGAGACTTCCGGGTTCATAATTATTATTGTCATGAAAGTGCTTTTTATCAAGGAAAAGGCCTTCTTGATAAATAAGAAGATTATAATAAGTACATTCATTAAGGCAATATTTTATAACTTTTTCAAGTTTTCCTGATCTAATCCAATGTTAATACACTTCTGCTTTTTTAATATATAAACATTTTACATTTGTATTGTTGATACATATTTTACTATGTGTACATTTTTACTTCTTATTTTAATATAAATATTATTATCTTTATCTTTTTTATTACACATTACATACTTTTTTTATTTCATTATTCTTTTTAAAATTTTTATTTTCAATTTCCTATTGAACATTTTAACTTGAATTTTCTGTTTTTATTTAAATATTTTAATTATATTTTATATTGTTACCGTTTTATTCAAAACATTTTTTTCTTTTAACGTATTTACCTAAACTTATTATGTTTTATTTAAATATCTTTAATCTATTTTATCCTTCTATTGTTCATTGTTACTTTAACTTCTTGTGTATATATAAGTATTTCAATTCATCTTTGCACATTTTTACTATATTTCAATATTTATAAACTTTTCTTATTACTCCTTTCCAATCTTTTTATTGTTTACTTTTGTTCTGGTCCTTTAGGTGGACAGCTCGGTGTTCTCCAGCAGGGACCGGGTCCACAGCCTGGCCTCCGGGCTCTCCTTCCTGCAGCGGATGGATATGAAGTGTGTGGTTGTGATGGGGCTGTGTGAGCAGGCGTGCAGCCGGACTCTGATGCAGCGCAGCCAGCAGCTGACAGAGGCTCTGCTCCACCAATCAGCATCCGTCCTGCCTCTGTTCTCCGCTGAGTCCTTCCTCCTGCGGCAGGAAACCCCCGGGAGCAGGTGAGATACCCTCCTCTTCATCAGAGTAATAGTATGTCTGATTACAGCCAATCATCTTCCTCACCTTCAGCTTTAATTAGAGAGGAATAGGTCCTAACAGCAGAGGCATCTTCATCAGGACTTCATTAGGTCTGAAGCGGCCAAAGTCATAACAAATATAAAACAATATAACTCAAAACAAAGTGCCGCTGAGGCAGCGAATATTACGCATGGGTTTAATAAAGGTCGGGGCAAAAAGTCATTTTTGTGCATTTTATTTTCTTGATGCCAGATCATACAAGTACAATAGCTTATTGTTTATTTTCTTGCCTTGGGAACCACCACCCGGTCTGCCACTCCTTCGGAACTGTTTCCGACTTCCACGCAACGTTGATGAGACGTGTCAACCATGACAGTCCCTCAACACCTGCTTTCACTGCCTCCCTTCTGGCACCCGACCCGCTGGGTGGGGGGCCCGCAAATGTTCACTTGCTCTATTGGCAGAGTTTAAAACGCCTTGTTTTCATTATTGTTGGACTTGTTTTTAGAGCAGCATGTTTTCCAGAGCAAGACTGTCATTCTTTGCAATCCAAACAGACATGTTTTTAGTCTCCTCCCCTCTCTCCCCTGTAGTTACCCCCCTTCAGTGCTGTTGGACCCCTCCCTCCTCAGGTGGTGTCTCCGCGTTGGGACCCTCCCTCTGGTTTCTCCCGTGGGACGGGACGGGTGCGGCCGCTCCGTGACCCTCGACCCCCCCCGAGGTGACGGCAGCCATCGCCCGAGCCCTGCAGCCACACAAAGTGATGTTCCTGAACGAGGGGGGGGGCCTGCGCACTCCGGGGGGCAAGGTACAGTACACATATACTGTATATATATATACAGTTACTAAGTACATTTACAGTACTGTACTTACTTTTTGAGGTACTTGTACTTTAATTGAGTCAATGTTATGCTACTTCTACCCCACTACAGTTCAGAGGTACATGGTGTACTTCTACTCCACTACATGTATTTAATACCTTTAGTTACTTCACAGATGTGGATGAATGATGTGAAATATAATCAAGTGTTAAATCAGACTTTAGTTCCACCTGGAGTAAATCCACAAGCTACCCTGCAGTATACAAAGTCATTCAAACTAGCTGCACCTTTACCAGCTTTGAGAACACTTTCATGATCAATCATTATAAAACATATCATATATATTATTCTGAAATGGACCAATCTGCACAATGACTACTTTTACTGTCTCTACTTTCACTATATTTTGATGAGAATACTTTTCTACTTTCACTTGAGGAACATTTTGAAACAGAGTATTCCTACACTCTGGTACTTCTACTTTTACTCAAGTACAAGATCTGAGTACTTCTACTTTTACTCAAGTACAAGATCTGTGTACTTCTACTTTACTCAAGTACAAGATCTGAGTACTTCTACTTTTACTCAAGTACAAGATCTGTGTACTTCTACTTTTACTCAAGTACAAGATCTGAGTACTTCTACTTTTACTCAAGAACAAGATCTGAGTACTTCTACTTTTACTCAAGAACAAGATCTGAGTACTTCTACTTTTGCTCAAGTACAAGATCTGAGTACTTCTACTTTTACTCAAGTACAAGATCTGAGTACTTCTACTTTTACTCAAGAACAAGATCTGAGTACTTCTACTTTTACTCAAGAACAAGATCTGAGTACTTCTACTTTTACTCAAGTACAAGATCTGAGTACTTCTACTTTTACTCAAGAACAAGATCTGAGTACTTCTACTTTTACTCAAGAACAAGATCTGAGTACTTCTACTTTTACTCAAGTACAAGATCTGAGTACTTCTACTTTTACTCAAGAACAAGATCTGAGTACTTCTACTTTTACTCAAGAACAAGATCTGAGTACTTCTACTTTTACTCAAGTACAAGATCTGAGTACTTCTACTTTTACTCAAGAACAAGATCTGAGTACTTCTACTTTCACTAAAGCACAAGATCTGAGTACTTTGTTCTGCTGACTCCTTGTGTTGCAGGTGTTGGACCTGGTCTCTCTGCCCAGTGACCTCCCTGCTCTGCTCTCTGCGGGCTGGTTGAGTCCCTCTGAGCTCCGCAGGGTGTCGGCCATCGCTGCTCTGCTGCAGGATCTGCTGAGCGACTCCTCCTCCTCCTTCCCCTCCTCCGTCATCACCTCCGCCGACACGCTGCTGACGGAGCTGTTCAGCCACAGAGGCAAGAGAGCAGAGCCGTAACTCATCATCACTGAGGGCCACACACAGAAACACATGCAAACCTCAAAGGGCACTGGTTCCCAACCTTTTCTGTGTCATCTGCGATGATTCACCTGCATGTTTTCTTTTGTTAAACCCTTAATAATCATATTTAACACAACACAACCTTATATGAACATCACTAGTATAACTCACCCTTAACACAAATGCATTTAAACTTCACATTTACACTTTAAACATCTTTTGTCAAGAGCTTTTAATGAGACACTTGAGCTTTTATTTCATAAGCTTTGATAGTTCTGGGGGCAGGACATCAGGATTATGAAAACGGATTGAAATGTTTTTGGGTGGACATTTAGACTTATTGTGAGTGAAATAATAATATCAAGACTCACATCTACAGTAGCAGTGTCAACATCTTTTGTTAGGAGCTTTTATTGAGACACTTGAGCTTGTCTTTTATAAGCGTTGATGGTTCTGGGGTCAGGACACTAGGATTATGAAAACTGATTTAAAAAAATGTTTTGTGTGGATATAAATTGCAAAACCTAATCTTACGTACGCCCTGCAATCCCCTCATTTTCCCATCAACGCTTATGAAAGACAAGCATGCTCAAGTGTCTCAATAAAAGCTCCTAACAAAAGATGTGAGTCTTGACTGCATTTATTTGGAAATTGGGCTTTAAATATATCTTTTAAGAAGTCAAATATAAGCCCAGGTTTCATGTGTGGGAGGTGTCCTATTTTTATAATTTGCTAATTTAGAAAATATAAATCATCCTGCTGTAAATGTTGAAGGGTTGAGGTGTGAGTTTACATTTACATCTCTTTTTCTGTTTCTATCTCTCGCTCAGGGTCCGGGACAATCTTTAAAATTGGAGACCCCATACATCGGTATGTATCGTAACAAATACAGGAGTGTGATCCCTGTCGACACTAGAAACTCATCTGTAGCGTACTGTGATGTATTTAATCACACTGTATTCTGGTGCAACTCAGTATTCATTTTGCTTTTAAATGTAATGTTTAGCCTAAAATAGTGTTGCACTGTTTGCTCTGTTATTCTCCTGTAAGGCAATGCAATAGTGTCATGGTGTCATGGTGGTGTCATGGTGTCATGGTGTCATGGTGGTGTCATGGTGTCGTCATGGTGTCATGGTGGTGTCATGGTGGTGTCATGGTGGTGTCATGGTGGTGTCATGGTGTCGTCATGGTGTCATGGTGGTGTCATGGTGTCGTCATGGTGTCATGGTGTCATGGTGGTGTCATGGTGTCGTCATGGTGTCATGGTGGTGTCATGGTGTCATGGTGGTGTCATGGTGTCGTCATGGTGTCGGTGTCATGGTGTGTCATGGTGGTGTCATGGTGGTGTCATGGTGGTGTCATGGTGGTGTCATGGTGTCGTCATGGTGTCGTCATGGTGGTGTCATGGTGGTGTCATGGTGTCGTCATGGTGTCGTCATGGTGGTGTCATGGTGGTGTCATGGTGTCGTCATGGTGTCATGGTGGTGTCATGGTGGTGTCATGGTGTCATGGTGGTGTCATGGTGGTGTCGTCATGGGTGGTGTCATGGTGTCGTCATGGTGTCATGGTGGTGTCATGGTGTCATGGTGGTGTCATGGTGTCATGGTGGTGTCATGGTGGTGTCATGGTGTCATGGTGGTGTCATGGTGTCGTCATGGTGTCATGGTGGTGTCATGGTGGTGTCATGGTGGTGTCATGGTGTCATGGTGGTGTCATGGTGGTCATGTTCGTCATGGGTGTCATGGTGGTGTCATGGGTGTCGTCATGGTGTCATGGTGGTGTCATGGTGGTGTCATGGTGGTGTCATGGTGGTGTCATGGTGGTGTCATGGTGGTGTCATGGTGTCGTCATGGTGTCATGGTGTCATGGTGGTGTCATGGTGTCGTCATGGTGTCATGGTGGTGTCATGGTGTCGTCATGGTGTCATGGTGGTGTCATGGTGTCATGGTGGTGTCATGGTGGTGTCATGGTGTCGTCATGGTGTCGTCATGGTGGTGTCATGGTGGTGTCATGGTGTCGTCATGGTGTCATGGTGGTGTCATGGTGGTGTCATGGTGTCATGGTGGTGTCATGGTGGTGTCGTCATGGTGTCATGGTGTCATGGTGGTGTCATGGTGTCGTCATGGTGTCATGGTGGTGTCATGGTGTCATGGTGGTGTCATGGTGTCATGGTGGTGTCATGGTGTCGTCATGGTGTCATGGTGGTGTCATGGTGGTGTCATGGTGGTGTCATGGTGTCATGGTGGTGTCATGGTGTCATGGTGGTGTCATGGTGTCGTCATGGTGTCATGGTGGTGTCATGGTGGTGTCATGGTGTCGTCATGGTGTCATGGTGGTGTCATGGTGGTGTCATGGTGGTGTCATGATGGTGTCATGGTGGTGTCATGGTGTCATGGTGGTGTCATGGTGTCGTCATGGTGTCATGGTGGTGTCATGGTGTCGTCATGGTGTCATGGTGGTGTCATGGTGTCATGGTGGTGTCATGGTGTCGTCATGGTGTCATGGTGTCGTCATGGTGTCATGGTGGTGTCATGGTGGTGTCATGGTGGTGTCGTCATGGTGTCATGGTGTCATGGTGGTGTCATGGTGTCGTCATGGTGTCATGGTGGTGTCATGGTGGTGTCATGGTGTCGTCATGGTGTCATGGTGGTGTCATGGTGGTGTCATGGTGGTGTCATGGTGTCATGGTGGTGTCATGGTGGTGTCATGGTGGTGTCGTCATGGTGTCATGGTGGTGTCATGGTGTCGTCATGGTGTCATGGTGTCATGGTGGTGTCATGGTGTCATGTATAGCTTTGAGATGCTGTATTGCTCACGGTGTCACGGTGGTGTCACGGTGGTGTCACGGTGGTGTCACGGTGGTGTCACGGTGGTGTCACGGTGGTGTCATGTATAGCTTTGAGATGCTGTATTGCTCACGGTGTCACGGTGTCACGGTGGTGTCACGGTGTCATGTATAGCTTTGAGATGCTGTATTGCTCACGGTGTCACGGTGTCACGGTGTCACGGTGGTGTCACGGTGTCATGTATAGCTTTGAGATGCTGTATTGCTCATGGTGTCACGGGGTCACAGTGTCATGTATAGCTTTGAGATGCTGTATTGCTCACAGTGTCACGGTGGTGTCACGGTGTCATGTATAGCTTTGAGATGCTGTATTGCTCACGGTGTCACGGTGTCATGTATAGCTTTGAGATGCTGTATTGCTCACGGTGTCACGGTGTCATGTATAGCTTTGAGATGCTGTATTGCTCACGGTGTCACGGTGGTGTCACGGTGTCACGGTGTCATGTATAGCTTTGAGATGCTGCATTGCTCATGGCTTTTGCAACTTTTCACCTCCTCTTCTTCTGCTTTATACTTGAGATGTTTTGAACTCTGACTTTTGCTTTTCGTCTTCTACAGATTTTATGTTGTTACTTTTAAACCGTCTGCCGTCAACCAGGTAGTCTGTAGAGTGAATTTACTCAAGTACTCTACTTACTCTACTCCTTTTAGTCCTCAACATTAATTATATTACTTTTTTTTTGGTACACTAGTTTTTGTTGAATTTGTTGTTTTTGATTAAAAAAATTTAGTCAACTTTTTTTTTTTTCATCATTTCCCTTTTTTGTCACCAAATGCTCTTCTTTTGTCTGCAACTGCAATCATATCAGAAAGAGTCATGTGATCACATTGTTCAAATAAGACCATAAAACATTTCAGGTGAGTTTCAACAGAGAAAGTTGTCCAGTTTTATAATCCTGAACGTCACCAAGCGCTCCGTCCCAGCTGTGTGCGTCACTCTTTAGTGTCCCCTGGTCTCCCAGCTGTGTGCGTCACTCTTTAGTGTCCCCTGGTCTCCCAGCTGTGTGCGTCACTCTTTAGTGTCCCCTGGTCTCCCAGCTGTGTGCGTCACTCTTTAGTGTCCCCTGGTCTCCAGCTGTGTGCGTCACTCTTTAGTGTCCCCTGGTCTCCCAGCTGTGTGCGTCACTCTTTAGTGTCCCCTGGTCTCCCAGCTGTGTGCGTCACTCTTTAGTGTCCCCTGGTCTCCCAGCTGTGTGCGTCACTCTTTAGTGTCCCCTGGTCTCCCAGCTGTGTGCGTCACTCTTTAGTGTCCCTGGTCTCCCAGCTGTGTGCGTCACTCTTTAGTGTCCCCTGGTCTCCCAGCTGTGTGCGTCACTCTTTAGTGTCCCCTGGTCTCCCAGCTGTGTGCGTCACTCTTTAGTGTCCCCTGGTCTCCCAGCTGTGTGCGTCACTCTTTAGTGTCTCCCGGTCTCCCAGCTGTGTGCGTCACTCTTTAGTGTCCCCTGGTCTCCCAGCTGTGTGCGTCACTCTTTAGTGTCCCCCGGTCTCCCAGCTGTGTGTGTCACTCTTTAGTGTCCCCTGGTCTCCCAGCTGTGCGCGTCACTCTTAGTGTCCCCCCGGTCTCCCAGCTGTGTGCGTCACTCTTTAGTGTCCCCTGGTCTCCCAGCTGTGTGCGTCACTCTTTAGTGTCCCCCTGGTCTCCCAGCTGTGTGCGTCACTCTTTAGTGTCCCCTGGTCTCCCAGCTGTGTGCGTCACTCTTTAGTGTCCCCTGGTCTCCCAGCTGTGTGCGTCACTCTTTAGTGTCCCCTGGTCTCCCAGCTGTGTGCGTCACTCTTTAGTGTCCCCTGGTCTCCCAGCTGTGTGCGTCACTCTTTAGTGTCCCCTGGTCTCCCAGCTGTGTGCGTCACTCTTTAGTGTCCCCCTGGTCTCCCAGCTGTGTGCGTCACTCTTTAGTGTCCCCTGGTCTCCCAGCTGTGTGCGTCACTCTTTAGTGTCCCCTGGTCTCCCAGCTGTGTGCGTCACTCTTTAGTGTCCCCTGGTCGCCCAGCTGTGTGCGTCCCTCTAGGGTCTCCCGGTCTCCCGCTGTGCGTCACTCTTAGTGTCCCCTGGTCTCCCAGCTGTGTGCGTCACTCTTTAGTGTCCCCCGGTCTCCCAGCTGTGTGTGTCACTCTTTAGTGTCCCCTGGTCTCCCAGCTGTGTGCGTCACTCTTTAGTGTCCCCCGGTCTCCCAGCTGTGTGCGTCACTCTTTAGTGTCCCCCGGTCTCCCAGCTGTGTGCGTCACTCTTTAGTGTCCCCCGGTCTCCCAGCTGTGTGCGTCACTCTTTAGTGTCCCCCGGTCTCCCAGCTGTGTGCGTCACTCTTTAGTGTCCCCCGGTCTCCCAGCTGTGTGCGTCACTCTTTAGTGTCCCCCGGTCTCCAGCTGTGTGCGTCACTCTTTAGTGTCCCCTGGTCTCCCAGCTGTGGAGAAGGGTCCAGCTGCGGCCGCGGCAAGTACAAGACACTACACGACACGCCCCCTACACGACACTACGGTGGCTGAGAGACATTACCGTACATGGCAGATTAAAAATGAATTGCAAATGTTATTGTAGCATTTTAAGCAACTATTAGGCAAATAAATTAATAACCTAGTCTATCCGTTTGAGACACAACAGTATAACTTTCAACCCAAATCATTTAGTCAACAAACGGTGTTTTAGTAAACTTTTTTTAATATATAAAATAGGTATTAATGAGATAATCTATTAATTATGTTTGTCTAACTGCTACACATGTATTTATACATACATGTAGATATGTGTGAACATCTAAATATAGTTGTTAAAGGTTTTAAGATATACATAATCACATCATGGGGTCATTAAGGACCAAATTAGGAGGGCCAGTCAGGCCACTAATGAGCTCAATCATTCACATGTATTATTATTACTTTATAAATTAAAAGTACTAGGGGTCTATTACAAAACCGTTGAAGGAATCGTCATGCATTCTGAATGTTTCTGTACTTTAAAAACATCATGGCTGAAGATCCTGTTCTTGTTCAAGATTATTCATACTCATTTGTGAATTTAACATCCATATTCACTCAAAACTGAAACAACACCAACATTTTTTGTTAAAGCATTGCAGGCCTAAAGCTCCACGCCAGTGACCTATATTTTAATTTCTTCCATCAAACTTTAAAAATGGCAAACAGCATGTTTTTAAAGATTTAATCTTTTAAGAAACAAAATATCAAATTTGAACAGAAGGGTTTAAAAACACGTTTTTAATGCAAATAAACTTGAAACATAAACCTATTTGTCATTTCAAAATTCACTTGTATTGTCTGCGTGAAAGGCACAGTAGGCTATGAGCGAATACATATCAACATTGAAAAAATGACAAAGTCGTACAATATATACCATGTGCTACTGTCTAGGATTAAGTATGATGAGATTTTTTTTAAGGAGGGACCCCAGAGCCAAGGGCAGGCCGAGCAGACCGCCTTCTCCCGCCGCAGGCTTCCCCGGTGATGGGCTCCGTGTAACAAGTCCCCTTAGTCTGTGCGGGGAGCTGCACCACGGTGATGCTGCTGTCATCGCTCGCCTCTCCTCCGGTGGTGCCCTCGGCTCCCTCCGCCGCCACACTGCCCAGCACACTGGAGATCACTAATGTCTCTCAGCCACCGTAGTGTCGTGTCAGGTGGGCGTGTCGTGTAGGGGGCGTGTCGTGTAGTGTCGTGTACTTGCCGCGGCCGCAGCTAGACCATATTGCAGCTGTGTGCGTCACTCTTTAGTGTCTCCCGGTCTCCCAGCTGTGTGCGTCACTCTTTAGTGTCCCCCGGTCTCCCAGCTGTGTGCGTCACTCTTTAGTGTCCCCCGGTCTCCCAGCTGTGTGCGTCACTCTTTAGTGTCCCCCGGTCTCCCAGCTGTGTGCGTCACTCTTTAGTGTCCCCCGGTCTCCCAGCTGTGTGCGTCACTCTTAGTGTCCCCCGGTCTCCCAGCTGTGTGCGTCACTCTTTAGTGTCCCCCGGTCTCCCCAGCTGTGTGCGTCACTCTTTAGTGTCCCCCGGTCTCCCAGCTGTGTGCGTCACTCTTTAGTGTCCCCCGGTCTCCCAGCTGTGTGCGTCACTCTTTAGTGTCCCCCGGTCTCCCAGCTGTGTGCGTCACTCTTTAGTGTCCCCCGGCTCCCAGCTGTGTGCGTCACTCTTTAGTGTCCCCCGGTCTCCCAGCTGTGTGCGTCACTCTTTAGTGTCCCCCGGTCTCCCAGCTGTGTGCGTCACTCTTTAGTGTCCCCCGGTCTCCCAGCTGTGTGCGTCACTCTTTAGTGTCCCCCGGTCTCCCAGCTGTGTGCGTCACTCTTTAGTGTCCCCCGGTCTCCCAGCTGTGTGCGTCACTCTTTAGTGTCCCCCGGTCTCCCAGCTGTGTGCGTGAGACTTTTATTTTTTTGGGAGACTTTTTTTTTTTTATACTTTTTTTAGTAAACTTTTTTTCTCCTTTTTTAACCAAATGCTCTTTTTTTTCTGCAATCATATCAAAAGTAATCATGTGACTAAATTCCCTAAATCTATAATACAATTCCTTCTTCACAAGTGCAAAACAACACACCCGTTGTCTTTGAGTCCTCTCGTGTGTTTACCCTGATCCATTGCTCCTGTGCAGGTACAGCTCTCTGGAGGGGATCGATGTGGAGCGTCTGCTGGCTCTCATCAGCAAGTCGTTTGATAAAACTCTGAAGCAAGACTACATCGCCTCTCTGACCGGACGACTGCACTCAGTCTACCTCTCTGAAGGGTGCGTGCAAACAATTCAAAGCAAAAAGACCACATATATCTGGTTGCGGTCGAATATCTACAGAAAATCTGGTCCTTTCCTAACTAAACCACTTCTACTTAAACTCAGACAACAAGGTGGTGGAGTTTAGGAAGGAAGTGACGGAGGATGTTACTGAGTCTGGAGAGGAGTTATTAAGGCTGTCAAAAAGGGTTGAATACCATTTGGAATAACTGAGATTTAAATCACAAAATCACGAGAAAAAGGAAGAAAATTATTATTTTAAAATCCCGAGTTTTCTGGAAATAAATAAAGTTTTCAGGTATTTATGATGATATTGAATTATTGCCGTTGTAAGTGAATACATTTAAAACTATAAATTACAGAGAAATACTCTCTATGTAGTTCTGGAGTTAGTGCATGTGAATGGTCTGCAAAGGTTAAAATACCTGTATTACCACCAGAGGGAGCTCCTCTGCCACACTAAATATATCACTGCAATCCAAACGCCAAACTCACCTTGAGTCTGCAGGTATGATGCAGTTGACGCACCTTTAATTGCCGTCCAAATAATAGAGAAGAGGATCCCACATGTGGTAAAAATACATGTTTAATTTGAAAGCAAAATATCTCTGACTATAACGACAACTGACGGCTGATTTACTGCAGAAAGTGCAGTCAGAAAACGGTGTAATGGAAATAAAGGGGGTTCACTTGTAACCGAGGGGCAGGCTCTCATAATAAAATATAATAATCATCCAATAAGAGAAAGGAAATGTGGCTTTCCGTCCTGATCATTCGTATTCATCCACATCCCAATTAGTATGTACACTTAACACAAAAAGTAAGGAAATCTGTGTTTGGTAGATTATTTCTATGTTGTAACAATGCTTCTTGGCAATACATCTTATACCGTTGGAAAGCCTGTTCAGTTTCCTTTGAAATGGTGCCACATTTGTGAGGAACAAGCATTGGTGGGAGGAGCAGCAGAGCGGAGTATGTGGGGTGCGCCCATGAAAAACATGACAAATCTCCTCTGCCCAACAGCTTCTTTTTGCTGTTGACTCTTTTTTGGTTGCATTGGATGATTGAAGTCCCTAACCCTAACCCATCCCACAAATGCATGTTACTCACAAATGGGGCACCAAGTGAAAGGTAAATAAACAGGCTTATTGCCAAGGAGCATTGTTACAACATAGAAATAATCTACCAAACACAGATTTCCTTACTTTTTGTGTTAAGATGATTTGAATAGATAAAACTTAATTCAACAGCATCT